ATCCGGGTTACGGCACCAATGTAACCCCACCGGTCCTACACCACCCAACCCTCTCCGAGCTGGTTTCGAACTGGCGACCTTCCGCATGGGAGTCGGTTGCTCTAACAAGGAGGCTAAAGACCATGACCTCTAGCGTATGTCACCTTTAGAGGTCAGAGGAGTGAGGTTTACCTGCACAGCGCTTACTAGCTGGCCTCCGTTACACCTGCCCTTATGCAGTCGGAGTCCAAAGTTTACCTGTCTATTAAAGGGTTATATAGTAAACAAACACTGTCACTAATAAACCCAACAACATCTACAAAATTCACAGCAAATGCACCACTGCCAACAAACAGTTAATCCAAAGAGCATAGAATCACCAAGAGGCGATACTCTAGTGCAATTTGAGAAACAGCCACTAGACGGCGCTGCGGCCCTTTTGGGATGGAAACTCCAATAGAACAACAGCATGTTATAAGTCTGTAAAGTAAAAGTGCTGATGATTGTCATAAAGTGTTGTATTGTCGTCTTTCAGGTTGTATCTCTGCTTTAATGCACTTCTTAAATAAATAAATAAAAAACAAATCAGCTGCTCGCCATCATGACAGCAATAAGATCCAATGGACAGCCGATCACTTTCACTTCAGAATGGCGGAATCCGGGGCTGTTGCTGTTTCAATGGAACTTTATATTGAGTGTCGCCTCTTGGTTATTCTAAGCTCTTTGGTTAATCTACCTGCTCATTTTGGGGCGAGGCAGTGGCGCAGTAGGTAGTGCTGTTGCCTCGCAGCAAGAAGATCGCTGGGTTGCTGGTTCAAACCTCGGCTCAGTTGGCGTTTCTGTGTGGAGTTTGCATGTTCTCCCTGCTCCGTTTTCCCACAGTCCAAAGACATGTGGTACATGTGAATTGGGTAGGCTAAATTGTCCGTAGTGTGTTTGTGTGAATGTTTCCCAGGGATGGGTTGCAGCTGGAAGGCCATCCACTGCATAAAAACTTGCTGGATAAGTTGGCGGTTCATTCCACTGTGGCGACCCCAGATAAATAAAGGGAATAAGTCGACAAGAAAACAACGACGACCAGCTCATTTCACTTACCGTTCTGTTTATCCTGACACTAGCACTGCATTCCTGAATTAATAACTCTGTTTAGATCTATCTTGAAATGACTTCATACATATTTCCCACAACTGTGCTTATGTACACTGTTAATCCTTTATCTATGTATGTGAAAGTGAAGTCAACCGAACAGCCTCACAGCTTCGTGTTTTCTCTGAATTGTCTGTCGATGTTGATCACAGAATGCAGCGATTGATTAAGCGTCAGTCTGAATTTACCTGCCATCATCAAACCATTGATCTCATTTGTATGAACTGAGGTTTTAGTGCTTATAAGGGGTGAACTATAGAAGTCAACATTTGGGGTCCTATCGTACCAATGTTTCAGCCTGGGGCAAGTAACATAGGTTTTGGGTGGCAAATGCATTGTGCGCCCTTTTGTAAAACCATGAGGATGCTAGTCCAGAAAGGAGGTGTGTTAAACTGAAACCATGCTATCGACAAACTAAAAGCTGGTCTAATGCCAGCAGCGCATGTTTAGTATTTTACTTTGGTTAATTAAAGGGTTAAATAACCACAGTTAAAACTAGAAGTTTACATACACTCTAAAAAGAGGAACATAACCTTTTTTTTTAAACTGTCTGATGGTAAATCACTAAACGTTTACCATTGTAGGTCTGTTAGGATCACCTAAATGATTTACATTTGCTAAATGTCAGAATAATGAGATAATTTTTTTATTAATTTCTAGACCAGTGGTCACCAAACTTGTTCCTGGAGGGTCGGTCTCCTGCAGATTTTAGCTCCAACCCTAATCAAACAGACCTGAACAAGCTAATCAAGGTCCTACTAGAAATACTTGAATCATCCAGGCAGGTGTGTTGAGACAAGTTGGAGCTAAACCCCGCAGGGACACCGGCCCTCCAGGAACGAGATTAGTGACCCCTGTTCTAGACAGTTTACACACATTTCCTTGGTATTTTTTTAGCTTTGCTTTTAAACTGTATAACTTTAGTCAAACGTTTTAGGTCTCCTTCCACAAGCTTCCCACAACAGTTTGCAGGAATTTTGGCTCATTCCTCCTGACAGAATTGCTATAACTGAGTCAGATTTGTAGGCTGTCCTGCTCGCACAAGCTTCTTCAACTCTGCCCACACATTTTCTATAGGATTGAGATGAGGGCTTTGTGATGGCCACTCCAAAACATTCACTCTGTTGTCCTTAAAGCACATTTGAACTCATTTGGCAGTATGCTTAGGGTCATGATCTGTCTGGAAGACCCATTCGTGGCCAAGTTTAATGTCCTGGCTGATGTGTTGAGATGTTGCTTCAGTATTTCTCCATAATGTTCTGTCTTCATGATGCCATCTATGCTGTGAAGTGGACCAGTCCCTCCTGCAGCAAAACAGCCCCACAACATGATGCTGCCGCCCCCATACTGCACAGTTGGGATGGTGTTGCTAGGCTTGTGCGCTTTCCTCTTTGTCCTCCAAATGTATCACTGCTCATTACAGCCAAACAGTTCAATCTTAGCTCCATCAGAGCACAGGACATGTCTCCAAACATGAGTCTTTCCCCAGTGTACTTTAGTCACATTCAATTGATTATTGTTTTAAAGATGTTTATTTGTGCACAGTTTGTGTTGCTCTCAATGACCATTTAGTGGATGTTTTATTAAACTCAATAAAAATGTGTGTATTTTGCTCTGATAAGATAATTAAATGGGCAAAACAATTTCAGCTGTACTACATGTCTTGATACAGCACATGGAAACCTCTTTGTCTAATTCATAAGCATCTGTTTGCAGTCTTGCCTGTACTGCTGCTTCATCCAGTAGATGGCAGCATTTGACTGCTCTATTTGTATTAGAGTAAGTGAAGCACATCATCACTCAGAGACCTCACCTGATCATTGAAAAGATGCTATCTGCTGAAAACAACACATGACAGCAATCAACATCTAATGCATTTGTTCACAAACAAGTTAGCTCTTCTTGTTATGAGCTAGAGGAATTTGCTGGTATTTACGGCATGCACTTTCACTCCTATGAGAGCTGTGATGGGGAAGTGATCTCTGTGTGACAGTGGCATGAGCTGAGTTAGTTAGATAATTAGTTAGATAAAAATTAAATAATTAAAGTAAAAAATAAAAACAGATAATTGTGACATTTGTACATTTTGAAAGGAACTGTTTAGTTAGACAATATTAAGGTCAGTTAAGTCAGTTTTGAGGCCTTATAAAAGCCAGGGGTCGCCACAGCGGAATAAACCGACAACTATTCCAGCATATGTTTTACACAGCAACCCAGTGCTGGGAAATATATTATATTATATTATATTATATTATATTATATTATATTATATTATATTATATTATATTATATTATATTATATTATATTATATCATATCATGTTATATTATATTATATTATATTATATTATATTATATTATATTATATTATATTATATTATATTATATTATATTATATTGTATTATATTATATTATATTATATTATGTTATATTATATTATATTATATTATATTATATTATATTATATTATATTATATAGTTTTTTATTGTTTTATATTGTTTTATATTATATTATATTATATTATATTATATTATATTATATTATATTATATTATATTATATTATATTATATTATATTATATTATATTATATTATATTGTTTTTTATTGTTTTATATTATATTATATTATATTATATTATATTATATTATATTATATTATATTATATTATATTATATTGTTTTATATTGTTTTATATTATATTATATTATATTATATTATATTGTTTTATATTGTTTTATATTATATTATATTATATTATATTATATTATATTATATTATATTATATTATATTATATTATACTATATTATATCATATTATATTATATTATATTATATTGTTTTATATTGTTTTATATTATATTATATTATATTATATTATATTATATTATATTATATTATATTATATTATGTTGTTTTATATTATATTATTCATTCAATTATTCATTTTCTTTTCGGCTTAGTCCTTTTGTTAATCCAGGGTTGCCACAGCGAAATGAACTGCCAACCCATCCAGTATGTTTTTACGCAGCGGATGCACTTCAAGCTGCAACCCATCCCTGGGAAACATCCACACACACACTCATTCACACTCATACACTACGGACAATTTAGCTTGCCCAATTCACCTGTACTGCATGTCTTTGGACTGTGGGGGAAACTGGAGCACCCGGAGGAAACCCACGCGAATGCAGGGAGAACATACAAACTCCACACAGAAACGCCAACTGAGCCAGTCAAGGCTCGAAACAGCGACCTTCTTGCTGTGAGGCAACAGCACTACCTACTGCGCCACTGCATAACCATTACTATTATTATTATTATTATTATTATTATTATTATTATTATTTTATTATTATTTTATCATTATTTTTATTTTATTGTTTTTATTGTTTTTATTATTATTATTAATATTATTATTTAATTAATATTATTATTATTATTATTATTATTATTTTATTATTATTATTATTATTATATTGTTATTTTTTTATTATTAGTTTATTATTATTATTTTATTATTATTTTACTGTGTTTACTCTATATATCTTCTTTTAAATGTAAACTTTATAAATGCTTTGGCAATACATTTGTAACATTTGTCATGCAAATAAAGCAATTGATTTTAATAGAGAGAGAGAGAGAGAGAGAGAGAGAGAGAGAGAGAGAGAGAGACAGAGAGAGAGAGAGAGAGAGAGAGAGAGAGAGAGAGAGAGAGAGAGAGAGAGAGAGAGTAAATTGTGTTCATCGTCGGTGACGTCAGCGAGCGCGGCACAGTGAGTGGGTTTCCTCCAGCGCGTGTTAAAGGGGCGGAAGTCAGTCAGACAGCAGAGTTCAGTTGCCGGAGTTTCTCAGCTCTACTTCCTAAAGTTCCTCATTCTCAGTTTGACTTTCCAGCAGCTCACAGGTGAGACACACTTTTACTCTCATTACAGTTACTTTCGCATATTATACAGAGAATCCCCAGCGTGAGGATATCAGGAATTGCGGTCCTGCTCAATCTCTGTTCAGGAAACGGTAACCGATGCTGGACGGTTAATCATTGTCGAGTTTGTTTGTCTCAATATTTTCCGCTCTGTCAGATTTCGAGTAGTTATGAAGACTGTCGATGAGGAAGTGACTGTTAGTTGCTCAAATGGTCTCATGAAGTTTGACAAGGGTGTGTGTGTGTGTGTGTGTGTGTCAGTGTTGTGTAAATAAGCTGGGTTTTAGTTGCATGTACTTTCTATAACTGCACTCACGTTAAATCTCAATGGGATAACAACATTACTTTATATTTATCTTCCTCATTAAAATGTGATTTATGTTTGTCTGTAAGAGATATATTTCTGCACTTTTCTGCTAGTGATCATTATCTTGATCTCTTTACATTGTACAATTTTAATACGCAAAAGTAAGTTCTTAAAGACAATACCTAGATTTAATATTTTCCCTTCTGAACTTTTGTTAATTGTTGAATCTCTAAAACTTATTATTATTATTGTTGTTATTGTTATTATATATATATATATATATATATATATAATAGTCTTTTTCTTAATGATTGAGGCTTTGTAATTTTGTAAAATATTTTCGTCTCTTTCCTAACTTTTGTTATTGTATTTTCTCTATAATTAATTAATGTTATTGTTCTTGTATTCAATACAAAACGTTGCATGTACGATTTAGGTAAGATTTAAAGTTGGTTTTATATTCATACTCTTGTTCTATGACAGCTTGTGACACTCTCTATATTGTTTCCCATTTGAATATCCTGCCTAAAATTGCATATACTGTAGGTGTGACTTCAAAGTAATATTACCACTATTTAATTGACTGCGAACAGTGTTGTACTTATAGTTATTGGCTGCTTATATGATTTCCCTATTTATAAATAGCTTGCAAATAATATGTTTTGAAATTTTGTTATTAAGGAGAAAGTCTGAATGTGTGAATGTAATTCTATAACTACACTCACGTTGAATATATTAGGCATAACATTATTCACCGTCCTTGTTTAAATGTGATTTATAATTGTCTGTAAAATTATATATTTCTGTACTTTTCTGGTAATTATCATCTCAGGAGTGACACGGTGGCTCAGTGGGTATCATTGTTGCTTCACTTGACAAAGTCTCTGGTTCGAGTCCAGGCTGGGTCAGTTGTCATTTCTGTGTGGAGTTTGCGTGTTGTCCCCGTGCTTACATGGGTTTCCTCCATGTGCTCCAGATTTCCAGTACTGGGTTGCAGCTGGAAGGGCATCTGTTGTGTGTAAAGCATATGCTGGATAAGTTGGCAGTTCATTCCGCTGTGGCGACCCCTGATGAATAAAAGGACAAAATCAAAGGAAACTTGTGTGTGTGTGTGTGTGTGTGTGTGTGTGTGTGTGTGTGTGTGTGTGTGTGTGTGTGTGTGTGTGTGGGTGTGTTACATTGTACAATTTTAATACACAAAAATAAGTTTAAATAAAAATAAGTTTTTAAAGACCTAGATTTAATATTCTCCTTGCTGAAATGTTGGTCATTATTACATGTCTTAAACTTATCAATAATAATAATGATAATAATAGTAATAATAGGTTTCTTGGTGGCACAGTTTCTCAGTGGTTAGCACTGTTGCTTCACAGTATCATGCAAGAAGGTCACTGGTTCGAGTCCTAGCTGGGTCAGCTGGCATCTCTATGTGAAGTTTGCATGTTCTCCCCGTGTTGGCGTGGGTTTCCTCCGGGTGCTCCGGTTTCCCCCACAGTCCAAACGCATGCGCTATAGGGGAATTGGGAAAGCTAAATTGTCCATAGTGTATGTGTGTGAATAAGTGTGTGTGTGGATGTTTCTCGGTGATGGGTTATGACTGGAAGGGCACCTACTGCGTAGAACATATGCTGGAATAGTTGGCGGTTCATTCTGTAGGGATCTCTGAAATAAAGATTAAGATGAATGAATGAATAATTTTCTTAATAATCAGACGTTCATTCAGTGGCAGCTTGTAATATGCTCTCTATATTGTTTACCATGTTACTTTGAATGCTGGGTCTGAAATCACCTGTAAGTGTAAGTAAACTATTTATTATTATTTATTAAACTATTTATTATTATTTATTAAACTATTTATTTGACTGTGAGCAATATTGTGCTTTGATAGTCATTGGCTGATTATATGATTTCACTATTTACAATTAAACAGTCAATGAAATAGTGCTAATGTCATGTTTGCATGTGATTTCTGACCCAATATTTAAAGTACCATGGTAGACATTATAGGGAGCAGGTCACAATGTGTCACTGAATGAATGTGCAATTATAAAACCAACTTAACTTTTAGTTTAAGTTGCACATACTTGACAAGATTGATGCTAAGTAGATTTTACTAGGGCTGTGCAAAAATTTGGAACTATCGCGATAATTTCTTTCACGATAGTTCAACCTGAAGTATCGATTCAAGTTGGGCCAATTCAACTGGGCCATTTGCTCTAGTACAGTGGTTCTCAAACTTTTTTCATCAAGTACCACTTCAGAAAACATTGTCCCTCCAAGAACCACCATATGAGCAGTATTAAAATACAGTAGTGTAGTAGGCCTAATTAAGCAGCTACAGCTCTGCACAGTTTAAAAACGTGGCAGATTAATTACTATTATTAATAAATTAATTAAGATTTATTATCATTGGCCACTTTAAACCTTATAAATAGTTTGAACATTAACACTGCTGTGTTTATAGGTAAAAAAATAAATTAATTTAAATTAAAATGTGCTTTTAAAAGTTCATTAAAAATGGTAGACTACTGTTCTTAAAAAGTAAAAAAAAACGTATCTACTTATATGTAAAGTGTTAACCTATAGTATAATATTCATCAAAGCCTGGAAATGCTGCTTGGACCTCATAAATATAGGCTATATGTCATCATATTTATATATGAACCATTTTTGATAATATTAAAAAATATATGTTGCATGTACATATGACATATTGGATTACTCTGCGTACCACAAGAAGGCAGCCCGCGTACCACTAGTGGTGCACGTACCACAGTTTGAGAACCACTGCTCTAGTAGATGTCGCTAACTCACAATCAACAAAACGCTAAATAGTATGGTATCAGAAGTAAGCATGTCTGCCTTAACTAACATTGCAGAGTTACTGAAAACTGCATAGGAGGAATGGGACATCAAATGGAAGGACTTGTCGTTATAACAGACAATGCGTCACACATGACCATGGCAGCACAGCTGGCCTGTTGCATCTAAAATGTTTCATGCCTGCCATCAGTTTACCTATGTGCACAAAATATTCACAATACTGTCAGTCACACTGTCAGTTTACCGCATATTAAAGCACTGTGTTCCAGTTTTGTTTACTTGATGCATTTTAATTTTTTTTTAGTTTTATAAATAATTTCATTTATATGTGACTTTAGTGGCATATTCATTGTAGTTCAGCGTTTAATAACAATATGCATTTAATACAGTTCAGTGAGTTCTCTGTTCAATCACACTGTGCAGTTCTCATGAATTGAAATGGATAAAAAATAAATTGGAATTGGAATTTCAATTCGTCTGCTGACTTTATCAAGTTGTCAATATAACATGACACACATACTAATGCAAACTATTGCAATATATCACAATATTTATTGTATCGCAATATATCGTGATATACTGTATCGTGACCCATGTGTAGAAATACTGAAGCAACATCTCAACACATCAGCCAGGACATTAAACTTGGCCACAAATGGGTCTTCCAGACAGATCATGACCCTAATGTATCATATCATGAGGCCCTTGCCAATACACAGCCCTAGATTTTACATTCACACGTTCGTTCAGTGACATGCTCCCTGTACTGTTTTCCTTTGTACTTTTAATACATTCATTCATTCATTTTCTTGTCGGCTTAGTCCCTTTATTAATCTGGGGTCGCCACAGCGGAATGAACCGCCAACTTATCCAGCAAGTTTTTACGCAGCAGATGCACTTCCAGGCGCAACCCATCTCGGGGAAACATCTACACACATTCACACACACTCATACACTACGGACAATTTAGCCTACCCAATTCACCTGTACTGCATGTGTTTGGACTGTGGGGGAAACCGGAGCACCCGGAGGAAACCCATGAGAAGGCAGGGAGAACATGCAAACTCCACACAGAAACGCCAACTGAGCCGAGGTTCGAACCAGCAACCTTCTTGCTGTGAGGCGACAGAACTACTGCGCCACTGCCTCGCTTGTACTTTGCTTTAAAATCTCATGACATCATAGCAACATTAGCACTCTTCGTTTGTCTGTAAACAATGTTGTACTTGCATTGACTTCTAATATGATTTTACTATTTAGAATTAGCAAATAAAGCTTTTCTGAGATGATATTATTAAGGAGAAAGTCTGAACGCTTGAATATAAATCTGACTGTACCTCATTCTTGACAAATCACATTGTCTAGAGGATTAATAACTTGTTAATTTTGATGTCTGTGTTTGCTGTGAGTTGTAAGAGTCATTCTGTTGTCCTCGAGAACGATAGTTTTGTGGTGAACAAAATAGAGTAATGCTAAAACAAGCATGTACAATTGTCCTCAATTTGAAGGCATGCTAATTGAGCTCTTGCATGCAGAATAACAGTGATTTGGGGCAGGAGAATTTAAGTGGATAATGGTGAGCTAACACGCCGTTTCAATGCTCTAGGAACATAATTAGCAGTCATTTTATGTAATTTTGCTTGTTCCTAAATGACTTGGCGGTCAGTGACCTTAAAGGGGTAGTTCACCCCCGAAAAAAAGGAAAGTTTGCTGTTTATTTACTCACCTTAAGGATTGAGGTAAAGATGGTTCTATTTTGCACATTTAGACTTTTTCCTATATATTACCTTATACAGTTGAAGTCAGAATTATTCGCCCCCTTTTGATTGTTATTTTTCTTTTTTAAATATTT